CCAACTCTTGAGCCACGATCTTCTTCATAGCAACATTATTAATGTTATATGGTGGTAACACAGTATGAAGACATGATTACATGTAATAGATGGTTGGTTTGAATAATTTAACATTTTCTGTCCAGTGCACCTCCACCTCTTTCACCTGCTCCCTATTCTCACTAGAATGCACCATGTTGTCCAGAAACATTCTAGCTCAATAAATTAGTGATTCATTTCAGCTGTACGTTAGCTAAACCACAGCACAATGTAACCACTTTATATTAATATGTGCTTTATTTATGCAGGTAAACACTCAAAGGCTCTTGACCTTCCTCTAAGAGATGTGATGTCAATCTTTTCTAGTGTGTTAGGAGCCCCAAGTGTAAGTCTTTGAGATGTTTGGACTTTGCATTGTTCATTTCTTTTCTGCATCATGAGAAAATCTATGCTTTTTTGGAATAACATTAGTAATAATTAATCTCTGATATGTGAAACCTTTGTGTGTTGCAGTAACTATGGATGGAGATGAAAGTGAGATGAGCGGAGAGGAGTGCTGGATAATAGACAAGGCTAAGGAGACCCAACGGGTCTCTCCGGATTTGCTGGAGAAATGCAATCAGCTGCAGTCTCTGCTGAAAAGAAGAGAGGAGCAGGCCGCGTGCCTCCTGAGACTTTGCGAGTGAGTGTTGTCATTGTAAACAAATATGAAAGCATTAAGTGTGGCAATCTTTAAAAAAAACTAACAAACAACTCTTTTAACATGCTTAACTACTCACACAAAAAATGGTTTTGGGGTTCATTCTCTTGTTGGTTCATTGTTGGAATAAAATGTAATAAAAACGAGCAACAGTCAAGAATTGTTATATATGGAGTGTGGAGATGAGGAAAATATTGTACTGCTACTATTCATAACCATCATCATTATCATTGCATTAATCAGCATTTCATTAATACATTTATTGAAGCGGTTGGCCTTACATTAAAACTTGTATTGCAGGTGTGATCATAATTACATATTAACCTTTTATTGCAGGTGCAACTGTAATCATTTTTATACACACATTGCAGGATTGTGCTTATATAGAGTGATGCTCGGTCTATTTAAAGGTCTTAAGCTTCGCGTGGCGCGAATGTCCAGGCGATCCATGGTGTAAGTGACCTAGAGCAACAGAAGGTTTAAGCATGCACGCTTACAAACATACATGATAGTATTCATTCTAGGCCAAAGGCCTGGGACACATTTTGCTTCTAACTGCATTTGAGTTTGCCTAGTAACAGTTGACAGAAGAAGAGTCAAGAAAAGTGTCAATCCTCAGCGACCACCTGGAGCGTGAAACAGGTTGCCATATATGGAAGAATGTGATAGAAAGAGGAACTTCTCTGTCTGTTTTTAGCTTTCTAAATGAATATCTACTGTAATTGACATATATCATAATTTATTAATAATTTATTCTTGCAAGGAAGCAAAAGCATAAAAATTTCATGCAAGTGCTTGAATGGTGTAGTCCCCGCTGAGCTTTTAATGACATTTAGTTAATTCCACCTACTTTGCCTTAAAACTGTCCCACAATAACACGTCCTTCTACAGGCTTCTAACAATGTGTGTTGTGATAAGCAGATAACCTTTTTTTTTTTTTGCAACCTGGGCGTACTTCCAGGAACTAAGTGTACTGAGTGTATCCTTTACTTTTTATACAACGCACACTAATTAGAACATTGCATAACATATTAAGATATAAGATAAAAAATTTAAGATAAAAAAAAAGTTGTATTGGCTTTCTTTAAAGGACACGATTTTGTTCTAAATGTGATGATTC